TCATTCTTTAAGTGGAATGTGTCTACAAACTTTTGTTAGGAAATATCCCAAATTCTCCCATGTTGTGGAATGTTTGAATGAATAGCAGGTTTCAAGTTATTCCATAGACTCAATATTTGAAGTAGATTTGGACTTTGACTTTTCAAGCACATAAATAAGCTTTGATATAAAAACTTCTGTTGATTCTACCTTGTTGTTGTCCCATCTGTGGTCAGCAAAGTCTCAATTCTAACCTGTTCTAACCGTCTACAGCAGCTACATTCAGATGGTTAAACGGGAGTTATTTGTGTCTTCCTTTCAATAATGGCTTTTGTTCTTGTTATGCTTTCAAGATACACCTTTCTAGATCCCCAAGGATGTTTCCGGCGCTCTATTAGATTGAGATTAGATTGAGTTCTGGTGATTGTGCAGGCCATTTCAATAAAGAAAAAAGTCTGAGTTTATTTATGCTTAAAGGGGAATGTTGGTTTTTTAACATTGGGCCCTTGATTTTACATTATTACATCAGGTTCTGCTCACCCATATGAGTTTTGTGGCATTTGGAGCTGTTATAAAGATATTCCGTTAGGTTATATCGAGTAACGTCTTCCTATGGGCAACGACTGGGAGGCACAAATTAAACTATTTCTCTCAGTAAGTTCCTGCCATGTGATTGGCTGATTAAAAATTTGTGTTAACAAGCAGTTTGACAGGTGTACTTAATAAAGTGGCCAATGTTGCTGTCTAGCTCAAGTCCTAAGTCACCTGTCCTGCCAGCAGGAAGCCTGGGTTCGTGAGACAGCTCGGGGGTATGAGCTGCCAGTGTGGGTCCTTACGCAAGACCCTTCACAATAATGCCTGCTTTGGGGAGTGGCGGAGTAGTGGTAAGGCAGTGTGCTTGGATCTGGCTCCCTGAGAAAAGACCCTTAACCCCCATACTACTCCCTAGGTGCCACACAATGGCAGCCCACAGCTGCCATTAAATGCAGAGGATTCATGTCGTTGCTCTAACTTGTGTCAGCATAATGACAATAAATCGCTGGAAAAAAAACAGATGTATGTACACTGCAATATACACATACAGTATGTGGTCTTTTGCTCAACACATTGTCCCGCCTAAGCTAAGGAACTATGAAGTTCCCCCACTGCTAATTTTTGTTTCTGTGTTGCTCTTCTGATTATTGCTCTGTTTGGCCAGTAAGTCACTTTAAATCAGTGCCTTTCTCTTGGGAGGTTGGCAGTCCCGGCATACATTTTCTTCTCAGAAATATTATTAAATTCTTCATAGCTTTGTGATAAACTTTTTTTTAGCATACTTTTTGAGGCAATTAGTTAAACTGGAGTTTTCCTACAGTCTATCAAAGTTAATATGCTCTTCTTTCTGTAAGTCTTTGATACTGGTTCAGAAAGTAAGAGTATCGATGGACAAAATCACAGGCAGGTGTGCTTTTTTATCCTCTTCAAAAAAAAAAATCACAACAATGAAAATGGTAGGACATTCTTAGAGTAAACGTAGTTGAAATTATATGAACATTTGACATGCCATTTTAAATAGATATTGTGCCGAAATTGATGAGATGTTTCTTTTTGTGTCTTCATTATTACTTTTTAGCATTGACCTGGTACATTTGATACATAATCTGCATTTCTTTCAATCTTATTCTGTAGTGTAGAAGTTAAAAGAGCTGTAGATGTAAACAGGTACTGCACATAATTTAGTGACATACCGGTACATTTTTTTATTGTATTTTTTTTTTTTTAATAAGGTGAAAAATTAAAGTTTGAAAATGATTGTCGTTTAAAAAAAATCTATATTAAACATGTAGAAATATCTAGTTGCGATTTCAAGAAATGTAACAATGGTCACTGGTTATGAAGAAACAGTTTTTGCAAAGCATCGTAACCCTAATAAATGACTGGGATGAGAAAATGTTTTATGGGAAAAGACTTCATTGTGTAGTTGGTGTATTTCATGTGAATTTTTGGACCTCCATGTATCTCTCTTCCCCTTTCAATTTGAGTCGAGAGAATGGGTCCTGTCAGTACAGACATGCAAGCAAGGTGAACCTTTCCTAAACAGCAGACCTTTTCCTCGTACACAGAATTGGAACAACCCCGTGTTGCATGTCCCCATAATCTCTGGCATTTGGTTTTGATGCGACAAAGCATGAAAATGAGAGAATATGGCAATGTTGTGGCATTTGAAGTCAATATGTATTATAAAGTCAATCTAGATGAAGATCTGCCCATCCCTCTAATTAGATGGGGTGACTGGAGATTGATTTTTAATTGCAAAAGTAATTACATGGAGCAGATACCCAGTGACATTTGATTATCTAGGTGATTGATTAAAAGGCCTGGCTGCTGGGGCAGACTGTCAGCCAGCTGAATCCAGACAAAAGAGAAAATTAAAAAAAGTTGTCCCGTTTGTAATCACAAATTCCAAGGGTGAAATTACAAAACCAAACATGCCCTCAGAGATACCCAGCATCCTTCTATGGTAGGTCAGTCTGCTCTTCTTTCTTTCCGCAGTCATCCATAAGCACAAGACTTAGAGGTTTTGATTGCAGGAAAAAGCAAAACAACATGGTAAAAAATGAAAAAAAAATTTGAATTATGCCTTCCTAGGATAGAGATATCTTTTTTGTTTTGTTTTTTTCAGAATATTCACTAGATATCGATGAAGTAAATAGAAATATGCAGGTTTTGAATTATGATATTTTTGAAGGGAACTATTCCAATAAATGCAGCTGAAATCAGGAGATTCTCATTTTTGTAGGTTGAGTAATATTTTTCTAAAATTAATTTTTAGTACCTAAATGAGCTTAAAGAGAAGCTCATTTAGGTACTAAACATGTGTGTT